TTAAACAAATTTGGGGCTCCTCCTTATACTTTTAACAAGGTTTCAAATGATTCAGTTTTGAGATCTTCATCAGACATATATGACTTTGTAACTTTATACAGTTCTTCTATCAAATCAAGATATTCAGTAGATGATTTGGAATGTTCTGTTTGAAATGAATTGTAATTCTATTATAGTTACCTCTTAGTACATAATGTGTACATGGGTGAAAGCGAAAAAATATTTAAAATTTATTTAAATATATTAAAGTTATATTATTTTCACACCAACCTGAATGTAAAGTGATAAAATATATATTTATATTAACCATGAAAACTACCAAATGACCCATGGTGTATAGAGCCACACCTATATCATACAAGGCATTGCTGCTGTGGTTTTTGTAGCAAGTAGGTTTTTACAGGGTGTGGTTGCTAGTCCTACTCCCAACAGGATTAAATTCAGCTAAAGTTATAGAGTCCAGTCTGCCCTGCCATTAACTCCTAGCTGGTGGGGAGAGGAAATGAATTTCTACCTTTCCATGAGTATTTGTGCAAAAGTGAATGCAACTGTCTCAGATGGAATTTGAACTCTACATGCTAGTCTCACCAATGACAACTATGCTATGCACACATCCAAAATTATAAAAAGTAATGGCAAAAAAAGAAATGAATTTAATCATTGAGGAATCCTGTTGAGAAAACCAAGGTGTATATCCATATTATCTGGTGGTGCGTACATATTTTCATTTCCAGTTTTAGGGTTTCATATCCTGAAGAAATGTATAAACCTGTATATTTATTACAAGGATATAAGCGGTGTCTGACATAGACCAATGGCTAATAAATTAGTTTAGACTATTCACAACTGTATTGAATTTAATTCTTGTCAAGTACCTCACAAAGCTAAGTAAATATTATTAACAGTGTTAGATCTGGAACAATATTTCTTGTAGTTTTATTTTAAACAATTCATGCCCACTGTACAATCTAATATTAATTATAAAGATTAAAATAAATGTCCAGTATTAATTATATAATCATTTATGCCCACCATCCCAAAAATGTGACAGATCAGAATTAATGAGTTAATCACATATCATTATTAAAAATAGTATTCTTAATGTTATGTGTTGGAAATTGTAACACTTCCCCGTAAACTCTGTGTTTTCTGTTTTTGTAAGCCACAATTGTATATCTTGTATATATTTTATGTTGTGTTTTAGTAAATTAAATATTTGTTTGTGATTTAGCTCTGTGTTTTGGTAAATCATTTTTTTTCCTTTGTTACAATTTCCAATATGTAACAAAATGGGGGCTCGTCCGGGATTTGAACCCGGGACCCGTAACATTAACATTCAACTTTTTGCTTAAACTCAATTTTTCTGTTAAAACTAATCTTACAGTAATGTACAGAAGTTTTATGATAACCTGACTTAGAATTTAACATTATGATGTTATGAAAGTAATGAGCCTTCAGTAGTTTTCATGAAATGCTGTGTAACATTTTTACTGATGCCAAGATTAGGTCAAAGCATCCACCCAGCCACCAGTATCAATAGCAATCATAGCATTAACATATAACAATGTTTGACTTTGTATCATACCGTGTTGTTTTTTAAATTGTATTTTCAAAGCTGATTACTATTAAAAACAAACAGGTAAAAAAAGTACCAAGTGCATTTTATAAGATTGCTTGGTCATTGGGTGAACCTAGGCTCATTTTCAACTTGGGATTTGTTTTTCCTTTATGATGGACCCATTGTAATTTAACTTCATAGTAAGTAGATAAGCATTTGTGATCTGATGTTTTTTTTTTTTTAATTTTATCTTTTATTCCTTTCCATTATTATTAATGAAATATAATAGGTACCTCCACAGGATTTGTGATACCTAAGGTGTAAAATGAATTTTAAAAAATGAAGTTAATCGATTAAATTTAATGTTTCCAATAAGCAAAATACTTAGTTCTGTTTTAAAATGAATTGAAATTTACTGGAAGGAATTTTTTTTTATTTGGTAAAAAAATATGATTTAACACCATTTTTAGCCAATATTTATTGCAATGTAATTCATTTTATTAAAAAAATCTTCCAAAAATAAAATATACTTTTCTGAAACTTTATTTGAGGAATATTAGCTGATTTAAAGTAATAATTAATCTGATTTGAAACAAATCGGGAGTGCCACTAGTATGTAGGCAGTTACAGAGAGTGAAAGTGAGAGAAAAGACTGGGTACAGTGGGGATTGATGAAAGGATAAAAGATGAATGGGTTCAAGTCAACAGAAGATGGCAATTGACATTGCATTTAAATTTTTGAAGATTGTAGTTATCAGGGAATCAAGTAAGCAGAAGAGAGTTCTATTGTTGGATAATGCTAGAATGAAAGCATCAATGCCAGGAGGAGGCTTCAGACATGCATTTTTTAACAGGATCATTAAAAACTTCTTTCCATGGGATGTTACAAAGGAAATCATGGAATGAGTCCCAATCTACTTGTTGATAACAGAAGCATATTCTTGGCTGGTGGGGGAGCAAAAGGAGATGTTTACAGACACTACTGCATGATCAGAATTACCAGAAGGACAGCTGCGTAGTACGATAAAAGTCAGGAATAGAGGTAAAAAAAGAAACTGAGAAAAGAAGTGTGTCCATCAGGGTTACTAATGTTGTTATAGGGGACTTTATCCGTAAAAAGACAATTGAATATAACGTTTTTTTATATATAATTTTTAAATACACAATAATCTTAAACATTTACCAAAATATTCTCTATAATCTAATGTTTTACTGAATTTTAGACATTTTGGCTTTAAATTTAGTTATCACTCTTATTTTCTGATAATGTTGCGTATGTACAACCATATTTACAAAAATCTGCATGTTTATACACATACAAAAATAATTCAAAATTCTCTTAAAAACTAGCTTAAAAGCCACTCTATTAGGCAGCATTAAGCTAGCTCCTGCAGAAGGCTCTTGATTGGGCCTTCATCACAATAGGTATGGAGGAGTAGATGTGGAAGGCAGCAATAAACTACAGATGAACTCAGTTGATCACTGCATTAAATATTGCATTAATATTTAAACTTACCTTTTAGAAGTTCAACAATAATTCTTCTGCCACCACTTAATTTAACAAGTTTGATGTACGTAGGTCCTTACTTTCTGTACAAACAATTATTTTTTGTTTCATGGATGACTTTCACTGGATTTTGCAATTAATTTTAATTTTCCCCAAATTTATTTCCACATTATAAAAAATATTGTACAAAAAAATTTGTCACAAAAAATCACAGAAAATAATTGCAGTGATAAAAACTTGGGAATGTATAATTTCTGGAATGCTGGTCCAGATCCAGCCCAGAATGTTTTTAATTTGCTCACAGTCGGCCTGGTTCCAAAATGGTGTGATATGTTGGGCTACAGCCTCTAGGAGTAAAGTTGAAAACTTGGACAATTTTATTTTGAAACATTGTAATTTGAGGACAGTAATTTTTTCATTTGAACATGAGCTATTGAAAGTTAGAGAGTTGTCCCTTTAATTGTTTTTATTTGTAGAAGCCAAAGTGGAAGAATCCAAAAACAATTGCAGTAATGAAAATTTGGGAATCCAAAATTTCAGGATTGCAGGTTTGAATCTGGCCCAGATTATTTTTAATTTACTCACAGAGTTAGCTTTATTCCAAAATGGTATATGTTTGGCTACAGCATCTGGGAGTAAAGTTGAAAAAGTGTGGCACACTGACATTCACATTTATTATATAGATATTGATGTTTGATGATTTGTACTAAGCTTTTTCATTTAGGATTAGTAAATATAGTTTTTACTTAATAATATCATCTGAAAGGGTGAAATTAATACAGAATTTTAAGATATTCTAATTAAAAAAGATAAAACAATTCTTGTAAAAATTCATTATTCATTAAAAAAATTTTTTTCTTAAAACAATAGTCTCATTAATATATCTTATTTATAAAAGCAATTAAAAGCTTTTCTAATCAACATCTAACTTTTATTGCATTTTTTATTTTAAGATTCAGAGCAGATTTTCAGTAAAATGTTTTTTTGATTTACAAAAAGAAATTGATGATTTAAATTCCCTAAGGAATCCTGCTTTTAACTAATATAAATATGAAGTGGGTGAAATTTTAATTTCTCAAAATTTCATAAAATTAAGTAAAAGAAATCCAAATCAATGTTTTTTACTGCAAAAAAATGCTAAAATTTACTAGACTATACCCCCACCCCTGCTGTCACAAGGAAAACAAGATTTTTAACCCAAGTTTTGAATGCATAAGAAATCATTAAAAAATTTAATAAAATAATCAAAAAATACTTTGGTCTTTCCTCTTAATAATAAAAAAACATTTTGATGATACAACTTTGTTTTTATCAAGTTTTTTTTTTTTTTTTTTTTTTTCATCATGGTATGCTCTTTTTTCAGCAAATTAATGGGGGTGCCTAAAATATAATGTTCAAAACTCACTTTTTATAACATTCATAAAACACTGAGTATAAGTTAAAAAAATAATATCAATACTTTAGTAAAGTATTTGTAACTTGTGGAAAGAATTAAAACCAGTTATTTTTTTGTTTACTAAATTTCATCCAGTAAAAGGCTCAGGAGATAATCACGGTAGTAAGTTACTGAATGAAATGTATCAAAAGATATACAGAAATTGACCCTTGACTTGCATCCGTGTGGGAATTTGTTCCACAAAGTAACAGTTTTCAGGGAAAAAATATCTGAGTGAAACATCCTCCTTGGAATACAGAAGAAACGTGGGTATTTCCTATGTTTGTTTATTAGTCGAGTTACTCTTCAGTGGCTAATACACGGGGTGGTTTTAATAATTGTTGGGTGAGGTCAGAATTTTTCACAATAAGGTCAATTATTGAAAGGTTAGAAAATCTCCTTAAAAGGAAAAATAAACATTCCCCACCTTCTATTAACTACCTAAGTGTACTTTATTTGTGGTTTGTAAGTACTTGCAGTTATTGTTCTTTTTGTAACAGAGCAGAGTTACATGAACATGGCAAAGCTTTCTGTTGCCATTGCAATCCTGAAGAACAAACCTGCAGCACAATCAGCATCTGACTATACCAAGAGTCTAGCCTCTTCGAATTTGGAACAGATGTTGCAATGGGAAGATAAATGTCAAGAATTGGAAAAGTTGCAACAAGATACACAATTGCAATGTGTGGCAATTGCTAGCTGCAGTGTTAATCAATCAAATACTTGTAAGTTCTTTACAGTTTATATAATGGCATCTATTGTTAAATTTGGATATGATTTTGAATTTATTTATTTATTTTTTTTTACTTTAAAATCGGTTGTATGAGGTGTGTCAACCAAATGAGATTGGGCTAGGCAAATAGATCCACAAGTATGAAATACAAGGCTAAGCATAAATATTAACTAGACATTAATAATCAATGAAAATTTCAATCTACTCATATCTGCAGTTTGCTGTTAGGAATCCTTTAAAACAAAAAAAAAGTTATGATTAAGCCTTTGAGCCCTGACCACTGCTTTATCAGTAGTAGAGAAAAGTGATATAAATCCCAGCCACCAATTGAACAGTGGTAGGGAAAAATGACTTAATGTTCAGCCACCGCTTGAACCGTGGGTAAACACTTGTAACTATTTTTATATCTACCATGAAACATTACATACCAATTATTTGCGAATTTTGACTCTGGGTTAAAATTGTTCAGGAATGCAGGGCTCAAAGGATTAATCTCATTTCTTGTAAGAAGAAACAAGTTTTCAATCAATGATTTTGTAAGAATTTTTGGTAAAAAAAAAAAAATGGAGCTAATTATAATTTAATCATGAAATAATATCATTTTCTTGAATTATAAAGTTTGAATTTTCATATTTGGAATTAAGCATTAAATAACCCATAGAGGTGTTCATATGCTGATAAACAAAACCAAAAAAATATGCTTTACAGCTGTTTAGATTGTCATTCAAATGATTGCTGTTTTTATTGTTGATAAAGTTCATCTATGCATTATTTCACCTCCATTTTACCTGTACTATCAAGATGACAGCTATATTTAATTAATTTTACAATTTATTATATTTTCTACATGAGTAATCTATGATTTTTATCTGTGCATATGTAAGAAAGAATTTTGCCTTTGTAAATCATTACAAGTGAAAATATCTAAACAAAGTTAACATAAAATAAAACCCAAAGTGTTAGAAATCTGTTCTCACTACTTAATGAGATATTGCATCATTGAGATAACACAAGACATGCTTGTTGGTGTCAAGTAATGCTTCCTGCTATCATAACAGCAGAATATCTCACTAGTAAGTAGGGAAGATCAGGTTGCTAATTAATAAATACATAAATTTAGGTTGGTAAAGTTTAACAATAGACCTGCAAGAAAACAGTGTGTCAAAAGGATGTTTTTTTCTCTTGACACTACTGTTACTGTATACTTCCTCTGTAATTTTTATTGTTTTAAAAACTAGTTTTAGAATTTTAATAAAACCCAAACATGTGAAAATGGATTTATACATTTTCTTTTTCTTGAGTCTTGACATCCAAAATATTAAACATTATTTTTTAGATTGTTTATTTACAATAATAATTACATATTTCCAAGATTATAAAAATATGTGAAACTACAATGCAATATTTATTATTTAGCATATAAAAAATAACTATGAAAACAATTTTTTTTATTCATCAATGTATAAAAATGTCTGTACTATAGAACAGTATAATTTAAATAAAAAATAATTGCTCATTTTGCAATGGATATAAAATAACTAAATCCCCCCCTCCCCTTACTTTGGAAAATGAAAAATAATCTGAGATAAAATAATACAAAAAGGAAATGTATAATGTCTGGAAAATCATTTTTTTTCAATTACAGTTACTTGTCATTATTTGTTTTCATTAAATTTTCTTGTTTTAGAGTTTATAGGCATTATTATAAACTTATGAATAAAAAAGATTGTTCTCATAGTTATCTCTTTATTGCATTGTAGTTGTTTCACATATTTTTATAATCTTGTAAATGTAAAATTATTCCTGTAAAGAAACAATTTAATAAATATATACTAAACAGTATTTAATATTTGTGATGTCATGTCTTGGAAAGAAAAAAGAAAATGTATCCATGTTTGGGTTTTATAAAAATTCTAAAAATAGCTGTTCAAAACAATAAAAATGTAGTATTGTAAGTGCAAGAGATATAACAAGTTATCTCCTTTGTACTGGCAAGGCCAAGTGGCATTACAATGGTAAACAGTTTCAAGATGTTTTAAGAAGTTGAAAGGTTAACAAATCAACTTTCCAAAAGAGTAGTGTTTAACAGTAAAGGTAAAAATAAATTTATAGATTTAAATTTACAATTATATAGAAAATCTGATTATAGTAAGGACTTCACAAAATATTAATTTCATATATGCTGTGACTTTTATATATACTGGGTGTGATGGATAAATTGTCTAAATTAAGCAAAAATGAAAATAAGACTGACATATTTTAACAGATATATTTACCAAAATTACACAAAAATATCTTGAAATACTAAAGAGGAAATTTATTCAATAAAATTGCCATTGGATTCAACAACAACCTCCAGACAACTTCAGAATCTCCTGCAACTCTTTTGAACAGTCTCCTTGTTTAAGTTGCTGAATGCTGCCATAATCCTTGCCTTCAGTTCATCTTTTGGTGTTATAAGGAGTTTTGCTGGTTTCTCACTTAACTGCGTCCCACACATAGTCTGCAGAGTTAGGTAGTTATATGTAAGGGGTAATGTGGTCACAGAAGTTGTCTGACAGCCATGACTGGGTTCTCTTGCTTGTATAGCATGGTGCAGAGTCCTGTTGCCAGACATAAGGGCTTCCAGCAGCCACCATCTTGACCCAGGGCAACATTACTGCCTCAAAGCACTTGATGTAGGCCTTCATGTTGAGTTTGAGGTCCTCACCAACAAATTTGGGAGTTCTTTTCTTATCAGAATGATCAGAGTGAGTTTTCTGAGCTGCTATATCTTCATAATCACCATCAGACTCCTCTATCTCTTCCTGAATCTTTTGTACTCTCCTCAGATTGACACCCAAACACTCTGAAATGTTCATATTGGAGCTTCTGGCACAAATATCAGGCAGTACATCATGCCGTTTCCAAATTTCTGGTTGAGTGAATTTTGTCATGGTGCTATTTTTCTCACAGATGGTTCACAACTGACCCTTCTATACAGCGCAGTCAACAAAAACAGACAATGAGCATGTGCAAAATTAAAAATATGAAATGGTGACAATTTATCCATGGCGCACTGTAGATAAACTAGTCTATATATATATATATATATATATATGTATATGTAAAATTTAGTATAAAAAGTAAGTATACATTATTCAAGACAGGATAAATTTTCAGTACATATTTTCCAGGTCAGGATTAATTTTTCTTATACTAAATTTCACTTAATACAAGGCAGAAGAGCCATTCAAGGTAGAGGATTACTGTTAAAATAGTTATGAATAAATGTGATGTGAGTAAAAGAGGATATGGCAATAATTGACTATTATGAGATATATCAAATATTTTTAGTTTTCCATTTCTGTTCTGTCTGAATTTCTGGAATGAGGAGTTATCATTATTTATATTATTTACATTCAGACTAATGTTCTCATCTTTGTTGTTATCACAACACTTTGGCCATTGTGCCATTGTTCTTGCTGGCCTTCATTAGGTGCTTGTTAATCCAGGTAACCTTCAGGGAATTTCAAACTGAACCCTTTATTTAATCTATGTTGGTAGATTGTTCTCATTCCACTGACTATATCTAGTTCTTATTTAGTACTGTTCAGAATAACAACTACCCTGCAAACAAAACATCAGCAGAAACAGACGGGACAAGGAAGAGGACTGAAAAACTGCCACAGACTCCCTTACATCAAGAGCTTATTGGAAAGATCAGCAGTCCTTACAACATCAGGACAATATTCAGAAGGAACTTGGCCTTACAGAGAAATCTCTGCTGGGTCAAGCCTAACACAGAAGGTCATGTGAATGAGAAATGTGTGTGTTCCATCCCTTGCAGTTGCGGTCAAAAAAATGCAAAAAATGAAATCTGCCACTCCCAAAAAGTAAGGCTAGTGCCACACTGAAAAACCATAATTAGGAGTGAGACAAAGAAATCATGGACATAAAAGGGTTGTCACCAACTCCTGTGAAATGAAGTAAGAATACTAGACAGAAGAACACTGGAAATTGATATGTTTGAAAGAATCAGCACAGACAGATGTTAGGCTTTGAGAACCTCCTTAGTATTCCTAGCATAGAAATAAATAATATGAAAGCCATTAATTTTTTTAAAAAAAAAAAAAAAGGAAGAAAAAATGACAGCAAGGCTTCAACAGTAACAGCATCAGTTTAAAAAAGCAGAGAAATCTTGGTGAATATAGTCAAGCAGCAGCAGTCTCAGCAACAGGCAGATTAGGCTTAAGTTCCACATTTGGGATTATCCCCTGGGATAATGGCTTAGTGGATTAAAGTATTGGTTTATGAATTTGGCAACATAGTAAGTGTGAGATCAATCTCTGGACCGGGCAGTACAGAATTGAACTCAGTGTAAATAGGGTGAGCAATAATTGAGCAGTACTAAATAAGAACTAGATAAGATATCCCTAGACATAGGCAGTGGTATAAGGACATCTACCCCCATAGATTAAATATAGGGTTCAGTTTGAAATTTTTTTCATGCACCAGAGGGTACAATGGCTGAAAATGTATTAATAACAACAAAGATAGGGACAATAATTTTCCATTTTATTTATTACAATCTTTTTGTCATTTTTACCTCTCTTTGAAAATATTGTTATAAAACCTTCTTGGAACCTTTTTTCAAAAATAAGTTAAAAAGTATTTCCTTTTTTTTTTCTTCAGATACTGATTCAAGTGTTTTCCTAACACCACCTTGTTCAGGCCAGCCAACAGAAAATTACACAGCATTTCACACCAATTTCCTGCAATGTACTTACCATTTAAAATCCTCCTTGGCCCTTCTTCAAGAGCCCAAACTGATGGACAAGGCTGACCACCTACCTATATTGAAGACTATAGAAAACAGCTTGCACTTTCTTCTTGCAGACCCAACCAGAATTAACATCCCCAGTGTGAAGCATAGTGTCAACAACATTATTGAGATTTCTAAGAACGTCCCTCTAAACAGCAACTTTTCCTTGCAACTTGTTAATACCATGCATCAATTTTTTCAGTCATTTATGAAGGATATTTTGCTCAATGACAGCATAGAACCAGTAAGTCATTTGAATTCTTTTCCTCTTTTTTAATTTCTTTCATCTCCTGATACAGCAATAAAAGAATTTAATAATTTAAAGTGCTTGTAAAGAAGACATAGATATTAGGACTTAATTGTTCACTAAGCCAAATATAAGTTGATAAACTATTTAATCTGTAGCTATTAGGCTGCAAAAGTCATTAAAATGAAAACGGTCTGCAAAATTTTATTCTTAGTCAGCTGGTGTCCTCAAACCCTGAGATAGGCCAAGAATAATGGGCTGTCACATTCAATTATTATAATAATAACTTAGACTTTATCAATAATAAAAATCGCAGTACAGATAGAGTGCACTGGTTTAATAGGCATCAATATTTCAGTGAGGTCTCCAGTAAATTTCTTTCATGAACCTTGAATAAAATATACTTCTATGGACATGACTGCAGTTTAAGATACAGAAATTTAATTGAATATTGGAAAAAGTGTGCGCTCTTAAATATTTATTTATTAAAATTCACTTGACTATATTACTAATGTATAAAATGTAGAGAAATCTATATAATACAAGCAAAACTTTGTGTGTTACCTAAAAAAGAATAAAAATTAACACTATGGTAGAATGATTATATGCACTTAAGCTAACATGAGTTGTCCTCATAGCTAAGGAATGTTTATATTTTGCCTGAGTGTGAATAGTGATATGCTAATTTTTGAAACAAGATGTGTTGGAGTTCTCTGAATTTTTTTATGAGAACAAAAGTTAATGGAAAGCAAAAACGTTTAACATTGTAAATCTTGCTTCACAATCAAAAAATTGTTTAACTTTATTGTGATAGATGGTAAAGGTTCCTCTGCACAATTAGATGAAAAATCAATGTCAAAAATAATTCATATAACTTACAGCAGTTTCTTGATAAACAGTGTTCTTTGTCTTCCTATGTAGCAATATACTTTTAGCCATGTAAAAAGCAGGAATCCTGCCACCTTTAATGTTTGTCCCTGAGATTTGTTGATGGACATGGCAAAACTTATCCTGAACTGAGAACTGCAACCTTTTGAAATCAAATAGGATGTCATTGAGGGTAATTAGAATTCTTGAAATGATCATATCCTCATCAGCAGCCCAACCTGTTTGTATTATTGCTTTGATTAGATATGATTACAGCTGTTTGATTACCAGCCTTGTATCAAAGTACATTTGTGAAAAATCCAAGTTCCTAAGAAAAGAATCTGTGGACCTTTCTTTAGTGGCATACTAGATGGCTGTTAATAAATTCAATTCAGTTAATCCAAAGTTTTGTTTGAATTTTAAAAAAAGACATATTTTTACATTTTCCTGCAACTGTTGAAAGATTTTATTATTGAGCCTCTTAACAACCTGATTGGTTGGTGCAAGTATTGCACTTTCACTCACGTATTGGTGATGATGACATCTGTGTTAAATGCTGGGGAAGATGTTACCTTTGAGATCATCAGTTGATGATATATATTTTACCCATTGCTATTTCACCATCACAATCAGCTGCAACTGCTTCTTCACCAATTTGCGACAATGTCCCAACAAAAGCAGTTGAGCATTTATCATTGGAAGGGTGAGCTCGTCTTTGTTTCTAGTTTAAAGTTCTTGACAAATTTCCACAAATCTAATGATTTCTGGACACTTCTGCTTTGACAGACTTCTTTCAAATCAGTGGCAGTATTTATCTTCTCCTTACAATGACCATTACTTGTCTAAAAGGAACATTTGTCGACCCCCCCGCCCCAATATCTCTAAGCGTTCAATTGACTGTCTCAAAAGCAACTTTGTGAGACATTATCCAATTATTACTTATTAACACCGATCATTATTCTAGCATTTCTGCTACCCCTGTTGACTTTTTACTAATAATACAGATTGCTGTGTTATTATTGGCAGTATTCAACAGCAGATTGAATGCATTGTGAATGACAGCAAGACTTGAAGCTCCAGCAGCCATTGTAATTTTCCCATGTTTTCTCGCTTTTGTTAGTAATAGCTTTAGCACAAATTTATTTTTTTCTTGTTACTTGAGATCAGAGCTGGCCAAGATATGGCCCATGTTGATTTTATTTAATGCCCAAAGCACAATAAATTTTTCTTTTCTTTATTTTTTTTAAGTCCATTAAAAAAATTTTGGTATTTTTTAATTTTTTTTTGGTTACATGATACACAAAATATTATCTGTTCTAATCAGGAAAAAAAGAGAAGAAAGACAGAAATGAAATACATTTAATATTTATTTTATTTTCATTAACAAAATAAGAAAATGTTCTTGGCTAATTGATTTGAATATGCAATGACTTGCATACATCAATGATTAACTGAATTCTGATTATGAAACATTCTCAGCTGCACAAACCTCATCAATTAATATGTATTAATATGTAATAAATATCAATTAATAGGTAATAACCATCATTAATTATTTTCATAATATTCTTCATCTCTTCAGTGGCTCAAAAAAATCAATTACTCCTTGTGATAGTAGTATCCCTATGTTCCCTATGTACAAGCAATGGACTCACCCCAGTTGGGTATTTAAATTGTAACTCCTATTTTCCTTTTGTAGCTGAGTTTTGTTTAGTTGAATAAAGCTTAGCACTTTTACTGTTGTCCTGAGCTCTGTTTACTCTTACAATTACTACAATTTATTCAACTAAATGCGTAGATAAAATCTAGCATGGAAACAGCATGAAAGCCAAAATGCTTGGCTGTCAAACCATTGGTGAACTTTTCTACTAAACTATACAGATGATTACCAGGAAAGAATATCAAACAAATACCAGGTTCCTTTGAGTTGTATAAATCCCAGTGTATTTGGGTATATTTGAAGGATGTGCAGACTTTGCTGTGGCTATGAGAAATTTGGACACTTTACTTATTAAAACGCGCAACCAGGTGTTTGCAAGGCACCTGTTGGCCACAAAACAACAGAAGTTGGGAGAGTCTCTGGACGGATTTTTTGGAGAACTAGAAAAGCTGAAAAGAAATTGCAATTTCAAAGACCACACTGCTGAGGAATGAGGTAATGAAGCTATGAGAGACACCTTCATTTCAGGCTTAAGTTTGCATTTCATACAGTAGTGTCTCTTAGAAAATAAAACCCTAGATCTACAAACAGCTTACACTCGAGCATCTGCACTGGATTTAGCACAAAGAAATAATGACTTATAAACTGCCCCAGAAGCACAAATGGCAGCGATAGTCAACTCTGACCCCCCCTCTCCAAGGTATGTGAGGAATTTTCAGTTGAACCAGCAATAGCCATGACTTAGCAAGCCAAATTCAAATGCTTTTTTTGTGGATTTGCTTACCATTCACAGGACCACTGTCCTAATCACGGAGCTACTTGTAAAAAATGCTTCGTTAGCAGTGTCTGGTCCTCATATACTGACCACGCTTGCTAATGTATCATGCGAGCTCTATCTTGCTGCAACACATGTAGTAGTTAATAAAAAAACCCTAAATGCTGTACTCGATTCCTGTAGGACTGATAGTTATATCAGCAAAAGAGATGTGCCAGAAATGAACTTGGATGTCCACCTGTCCAGAAAGGGTATCATCATGGCTCAGAAAACTTTAAACACTAACTCAAGGAGCTATGTAGTTGTAAATCTAACCCTTTGCTTTAACAGTTAGTCGTATGTTACCACCCGTCTAGGTGTTTTGAAAGATTTATGTTCTGACATGATACTTGGTCAGGATTTTCTGTGTCAGCCTCAGAAAAAGATGTTCGAATACGGTAGGTCTCTGCCTGAATTAACTGTGGACAGTAGTCATCAGGTTTGTGCTTTAAATGCAGCAGAGATAGAAAACCCTTCACTAGTTCCCAATTTATCACCAAACTGTAAACCCATTGCTATCAAGTCAAGGCACTTTAACAAAGAGGATCAGTCCTTCATCAATAAAGAAATTTGGAACCTGCTTTCTGAAGGCATAATCAAAGAAAGTGTTTCTCCATGGTGAGCCCAGCTGGTAGTGGTAAAGGACCCCACTCACCATTATAAAAAAAAATGAATGTGTGTAGATGACTCACAAATGATAAATATGTATACAGAACTGGACGTTTATCCTCTACTAAGAATTGATAAAATGATCATTGACTTTGCTAGATACAGTGTTGTTTTTTCTATATTCGACCTCAAGAGTGCCTACCACCAAGTGCCGCTTAATGTATTGAATAGAAAATACACTACTTTTGAGGTGAATGGTCGCTTGTTCCAGTTCTGCAGAATTTTGTTTGGGGTCAAAAAAGGGGCTGCTTCATTCCAAAGAGCTATAGACAAAATAATAAAGAAAATCTATGCAGTGCTTTCCCTTACCTTTATGCCATTACTATTGCAGAACACATGAATGGAACATGACCAAAATATGAAAAGGTTCCTGGAGGCAATGGTGAAAGCCAAAATTACCCTCAATAAGTTGAAATCTGTGACTTTGTTACCTTCCATCAATGTTTTAGTATACCATGTTGGCGGTGGAATCATTAAGCCTGACCCAGAAAGACTTTACCCCTTAAAAGAACTACCACCTCCAGAAAACTTGAAATCAGTAAAAAGGGTGCTGGTCATGTTCACGTATTATGTGAAATGGATACATAATTTTTTTTATAAAATTCAACCTTTTAGTAAAAAAAAAAATTAAAAATTCCCACTTGAGAAAAAGGCGCTCAAAGCTTTTGATCAATTAAAAATAGAACTGATCGAGGCTGCACTAAAATCAATCAACAAAAGTTTACTTTTCAAGGTGGAATGTGACGTGTTGGCTATGGCTATTTCTGCAGTATTTAGCCAAAGTGGACACCCAATAGTGTTCATGTCAAAAACACTACAGGGAAAGTAAATCAAAATATCACATAATAGAGAAGAAAGCCATAGCAATTTATTGAAGTAGTTCAGAATCTTTCATAGCAACATTTTACCCTAATTACTGATCAGAGATTGGTGGCCTTCATGTTTACCAACAAAAAGCATACTAAAATTAAGAATGCCATGATTCAAGAATGGCAGTTAGAGCTTTCAGCCTTCAACTACATGATAAAATACTACCCTGGCAAGGAGAACATAGTTCCTGATGCACTTAGTCAAGCTGATGCTATTTCAACCATTAACAATTCTGCCCTTACTGATATTTACAATGGACTATGCTACCTGGGAGTTACTAGACTCTTACATTTTGTTAGAGAGAAAAATCTTCCTTTTTCTATGGAGGAGGTAAAAAAGGTGCGTGCTTCTTGCAGAAATGAAATCTCATTTCTATAACTTGCCAGAAAGCACTCTTATTAAGGCAATCAAATCCATAGAACAACTAAGTATTGACTTTAAGGGACGCACAACACATATTTACTGGTAGTAATTGACAAATAATCACAATTTCAATTCATCTTCCCATGTCCAAACATGCACACTACCTCAGTAATCAAATCCTTAAACATTTGTTCAGCTTAGCTGGGATGCCTGGCTGTATACACTCTGACAGAGGTGTGTCTTTCATGTCTAAGGAATTGAGAAACTACTTCTCCCAAAAAGGGGTTGTGACATGTAAAACCACTCCATATCATCCAACCAGGAATGTACAGGTTGAACGATTTAACAGCTCTATATGGAAGGCAATTCAGTTAGCTGTTAGATCACAAAACATAGCTGAGAAGTACTGGGATGTACTTTCCGAGGTGCTACACTCTGTAAGATCGTTGCTATGTACTTCTACAAATACAACTCCTCACAAGTGTTTCTTTGCATTCCCTCATAGTTCATCACACAGGAGTTCGCTTCCATCCTGGCTAATGTCACCAGGTCCCATATTATTAAGGAGGTTTGTAAGAAAAAGTAAAACCGATCCTTATGTGGACCATGTCAAACTATTAGAAAGTAATGTGACTTATGCCAACATAAAGTATCCAGATAGAAGGGAGTCTACTGTATCTGTTTGTGATTTAGCACCCTGACCGGAAATGGAGTTAACCCCTGGGTCCCCCACTGTGGAACAAAATAGTAGAGGCCTGGGTGTCCCCGTACCAGAGGAGGACACTCTGCATAATGGTGATGATGCTGGAGTCCAACAAATCAGGAGATCCGAACAGGCAACAAGACCCCTAGATCGTTATGGATGGTAACACTACATTTTTCTAGAAACGAAGAATATGATAGCAGTATCCTATGTTCCCTATGTACAAGCAATAGACTCGCCCCAGTTGGCTATTTAACTTGTAACACCTATTTTCCTTCTGTAGCTGAGTTTTGTTTAATTGAATAAAGCTTAGCACTTTTAATGTTGTCCTGAGCTCTGTTTACTCTTACAATTACTACACTCCTGTCTCATGATAATTGTTACATTTAGTATATGAAATGTATATACAAATGTAACAACTATTATGGGACACAGATAGTACAAATTAATGAAACTAGTATTCAACTTTACCAGCAGAATTAAATTAATGAAAGATATTCATTGCCATAGTTTAAACACCTGAAATTTTTATAGAATATAACAAACTTGAAGCAGAGAACATTGCATAATAGTTGAATTTGAAGAAAAATCACTTTCAGGTCATGAATGAATAAATTTATATAAATGCACTATCTCTGTCTCTATTTCTGAGATGAGGGTTCAGTTTGACATTCTAACCACCTGAAGAAGGCCGGAGTGTACAGTGGCCGAAACGTTGTAATAAATATGACAACAAAGATGAGGACAATAGTCCAAATAATGTAAATAGTATGCACTATCTCAAAGAAAAATAAATGTTTTAGATATAAATTCATCTGAATCCATTTATTTCAAAATGTTTGGCTTCCTCAGTATAACTATTAGGTTCAATAGTCTAGAATAGGGACCAGATATGTATGTACAAAATGTAGTTCAATTTTCATTTTGTGCATAAACATCAGGTTCCTTTTACTCCAAAAACAATGATCCTTCCAAATTGAAACACCCTAGCAACTAGTCCTTTCAAAAAGCTACTCAACATTGTTACAAAAATCTATTTACTCATTGATATGTTTAAAATCTATGATCATTAGAAAATGAAATGCCCTAAAAAACAAATGATCCTAGCAAAAAGCTATAATGATGCTCCATATTGTTTCTTCCAAAACGTTATTTCGAGACATTATCTTATGATCTGTGTGACATCATTTGATGACATAAGTGGAGAGGCCATATTTACAAAATTTCCCTTTTCTCAAGTGTTGCATATTTATAGAAGCATTGATTATTTTTTTTCCACCTGCCCATTCTATATTAAGCTTTTTTAAAAACCTGTCTTACATGCAATATTGGTTTTCATTTTCAGGTCCAGAAATATGACCACATTCATTTAGTGTGCCAATTTGTACACAGTCCTACTCTGCAAAAGACACTCTTTGATACACTTCTCAAATTCACTTCTCAATTCTCAACTTATTTACAAGAGTTATGTATCGGTCTGCAGCAAACACTTGACCCAATCTACTTTGAGAATAATTACTATGTGATGTCCTGCCTAGCCGAGTGCTTTATGAAAGCAGCACAACAGCCTGCAGATCTGAAAACTTTCTTAAGTCTTAAATTAGGAGATAAAATTAGAACCACATTGGAGAACTGCTTGTCACAGGTTGTTGACACTTACCCTATATTTGCACATTCTGTCTGGTATCTATTGGCACTACTGGACAGCATCAAATCAGACCACTCTCAAAAGCCTTCCTAATAGGTTCCAACAAACGCTACAACTAATCCCCCATTTATATGAATATTCTTGGCAAATAATGTGAAACACCAGCAATCAAGTTTTGTCCCAATGGGAAAGTGTGAGAAAACCAAGCATTAATCAAAATAAAGACAATTTTAAAAATAACTTATTTGCAGATTTTCCAAAATGAATAACTTTAATGATATTCACCTTTGAACAATTCTCTGCTTTTTACAATGTGCTTAAAATATTAAGAGAGGGTTCAATTTCATAGAAAATATTTTGAGATAATACTTCAGTGTTAATTGAAAGAATATTCCATTAAGTGTATCATTGGGGTACTTAAATGGCTTGGCAATAGTGACGTTGATTCATTAAGTGTTGTGAAATTTTACAGTTTTAAATTGTCTTTTTTTTGTTCTTTTCTTATTTGAAGTTGTAAAAGTATTTTATTAAACATTTGTAAGTTGACTGAAATGCCTTATTGTTGAAGAAAAAAAATCCTTCTTTTAGATAACATGTCCCTTTCTTGATAGCTTAAAGCTTTCATTTCATATTATTATGAAACTACCCTATTATCCATGGTTTTAGTTATTCAGAATCAAGACCAGAAATAAACAATTGTTAAGTGTATAAATAGGGAGGCAGGTAATTTGGATATGCCAAAGAAAAGGCATAAAGTGCTTCTTTTAATTGAAAAGATAAAAGTTTTTGACATAATAAGAGAAAAATAATGTAAACCAAAGTTGCTTTGATCTACAGCAAGAAATAATCTATATTTTTTTACTATATTTTATTATAACTGTTCTATTTTATTACTAGTTATTAATATTAATCTCTTATTGTACTTAATTTATAAATTAAACTTTATCACGGGATATGCAATATAATTGGCCCTGATCTGGCATCTCATCTGCAGTTGTTCTCTCACAGACGTGCCGTCACCTCTCTCTGTCTTTTTTACAAATACATTCATGGTAATTGTTCCGATGAGCTGTTTTTGTTGGTTCCCAGACTTCACGAATTTAAGCATCCTATGAGGCTGGCATCCCACTCTCACCCTTTCACTGTTGAATGTTAAATGTAGCTGCCTCTTCTACTCCAATAGCTTCATGTCTCGCACCTCTCGCCTGTGGAACTCCCTTCCCTATTCCTGTTTCTCTGGTAGCTATAATCTCTAACTATTTAAATGTAATGTCAATTGACATTTCCAGTTGCCTTGATCTATCTATCCACTAGCCTTCTCTTCATCCTTTCCTCTATCATTCCTACCTGCTCTCGCTCCAAATCCTCTATAACCCCTTGTGTGCTAGTGGCTTCCTGCCTTGCTAGGGGTGAAATGCTTAAAAAAGAAAACAAAAAAAAAAGTATCTATAGGAAAAAGAATAGTCTACAGGGTATCCCTAAAATCTGGACACCCTAGGCAAAAATGCATATTTTCAAGAAATTAAATTTTCAACAACATTGAATTGGAATATTAACAACTAACATCTTCAATATGATTTCCATCATTTATGATGCAAATGTTGATGCGCTTTGCAAGATTCACATGCACTCAATGTAATAACTCCACATTGATGTCAATTTTTTGCTTTCAGTCAAGTGTGTTGCATCTGTGATTTTCATTGAGTACACCTTCTTTAGCATATCCCCAGAAAAAGAAGTCAATTCTTTCTTTACTCTTTACACATTCAATCAAGTGTGTTGCATCTGTATTTTTCATTGAGTACACCTTCTCCTATAGCATATCCCCAGGAAAAAAGTCAATTCTTTCTTCTTTCAACAAAACCATGTTTAATCTGTGGAGGTAAAAAAATATATAATTAATGAGCTTTCCTATATGTCCAGACTTTAGAGACACCCAGTATATTGGATATTATCCATAGTTTCAATCATCTGCTATGAGCTTTGGAAGCCATCTCTCACACATAAGAGTTAAAGGACTATTGTATAATAATTACATTGTATACTAACATTTACAAGTCCTGACTAAAGTGGAATAATTACCAGAAACTTGGCTATTTTCACTGACATTTAAATATTTATGCTGAAAAAAATTTCATGGACAAGCTTGGGTGATTTCTTCTGTGTGCTTGCAAAATTCATTATTGCAAACACTAAAACTCTTGGATATCATAGATTTTTACAAGAATGCAAGTGGGCTGACCATAACTATATTGAATTTGAAATTCAATGTAGTGCTAATTCTTGAAAGTATTTTCAACTGTTTCTTGCTGCAATGTTTATTATAACACTACTAACTTCACCATGCTATGGTGAGATTAGCCATTTCCATACAGGAAACATTTTGATATTCATTGACTGAACAATTAACATTACTGTTGGTTGTAATTTATTAAACAGTTTTAACAGTTCTTCAGGAAAACAGGCTTCTCAGATCTTCTGTTATTGCTCTTTCTAGTATCAATGGGAGTTTCCTTCCTAACCTTATGTTTAATGTAGTGTGGAAAGTCAACATCGTGATTAAATCTTTATTTTCTGTTCTAGTTACATGTGCTATCCATTTTAGTTGTTGCTGCTGTTGGAAGTTTTCAAGTGATGTGTTTTTTGTTATTTGGTAAAGTTATTTCTTTGTGATTCTGTAGTGCCAGTCTATAAGATCTGATAAAAAATTATCTTAAGGCCTAAAGGATACATTTGTAGAGGAGCCGACTTTCCGTTTCAAATTTTCCTTAATTCCGTTTCAGGTTTTAGGGAATTTCATTTTTTTCCCTATTTTCAGTATAGAATTCTGTTTTTGCTTCATTATAATACTTAGTGAGAAAGTGCAACAATATATAAATTATAAATTATAAAGAAAATAAAGTTATTAAAATTTTTGAAAAAGTCTAAGTTGTAAAATTTGGCTTTCTGAAACGACAAAAAGAAAGGATAAAACAAAAAGACAAAATTTTTGTCCCCCTCCCCACAGGAATCTTTTTTTTTTTTTTTTAAATCAAACCAACTTTATAAAACTTTGTTCCTAAAAACTGTAGAGAGACAATAGGTGGGGAGGATGTATTAAAACATTACCCACTTTACTCTTTGATGTCAGTCGAACGAGTGAGTTAGGAAAGGCAAACATAGTCACAAATGAAATTGGCATTTAGCAAATCTAATTGTTAGAAAAAAGAAATTCAATTTCAAAATCACGATTTCTGTTTCAAGAAGCCATTTTTAATCATTGACCTGAGAAAACGGTTGTATGTAGCTGATAGTTTAAACTTTTCTGAACAAATTGGATTCCATGCATATGACATCCATATAAGTCTAGATTTGGTTCCTATTGAGAAAAATAAAGAGAAAAAAATGTAATGAATAGGATGTCTTTTTGTTAAAACACAAGATTAATGATCATTTTATTTAGCAAGAGGCATTGATTCTATACAATCAATGTCTATGGTTGCATGAATAAACAATGAGGAGGAAAAGAAACAATTCATTAATTACATATTATAAGCAAAATGTAAAGAGTTTAAGTGAAAATCTTGTACTCTGTTATTCTGTTTGTGACAAGATTCTTTATCTTCAATAAGAGTTTATATCACAATTGTTTCTTGTTTTGTTTTATTGACATTTTTAATGTGTGTTATTTGCTTGTGTAAAAAATCCTATAACATAAGAATTGTTTATTTTATAATGAAAAAAATTATTAAAAGAGCCAGAGAGAAAAGATTTTGATTTGATCTACTACTACTACTATTATTATTATAATAATAATCAAAATGATTGACGTAACTCTTCCAATATTTGTCAACACTTAGAGAAGAGCATGATTTTAAAAAAAGAAAAATCACTGTGTTTGACAATGTTAAACAATATTTCAACAGAAAGTCTTTCTTCTTCAAGTTATATTTTTAAAAATTTTTCAAGTATAAAAATATATAAATTTACAAAAAATTATAAGCCTTTATACAAACTTTGTCTTGTAATGAAAAAATGGCTGTACTGGTAATGAATACGTCAAAATGAATGACATGCTGCCAGTGTGAAGACATGCGACTATAACATGCTTAATATGATGGTAATTTTTTACTGTGAATTTTCCATTAGTTACTAAGAGGAATCAATCAAACAGCTTAGTATAAATATTATGAAACTCTCCTGACATTCAATAATAATAATAATAATAATAATAATATCATCTCATGATAGAAAACTATTCACTGAAACAAGCAATACAGTTTATAAATGACAAAACTTTTGCCTAGAAGAGATCAAATATCATTTTTTTTTTTTTGGCTTCCTGAACAAAGAAACCCTCTCATATCCTATCACATATGTTTGGCCTGAAAGTTGGCGAGAGGTTTCTGTTGTGGATCTTCCTTTAGCTGAGTGTACTCCTGCATTAGGATTTAGTATGTATAGCAGGAGTAAGAGTGAATTCCACTCTTGGTTTGAATTCAAAATTGTTCTCCCAGACTAGTTACCAATCAAGGTTACAGAGCCCTGTCTGCTTTGTTATTTTATGCACAGCTGGAAGTAGGAGAGAGGAGATGGATTAAAATGTAATGCTTAAAAATACCTCTGGTATTTGTTTCTTCATCATCTTTAACTTAGATCACGTTACATTGAAATTTTCACCTGAAAAATAGTTTTAAAATATCCTTAGAATCTACATCTGTCTGAAAACACAAAAAATCCATTTTCTGAAAAGATAATGTGGCACAGGGGTTATCAAACAGGGTCAGTGTGATAACCAGTCAAGTGGTCGAATGGAGGTTGATCTACAAATGACCCTGAGCTAAATTTTAGTTAGTGTACATGTATTTTGTATTCTTCGGTGCACATGAGAGGCACTGAGCTTGACAATCAACACAATCAAAGCCTTAGTTACATCTACTAAAGTAGCTTTTAACTTATTTTGATGAGATTTATTTAATACTACATTGAGCATTGATTACTCTTTTTTAATTTTTTTTTTTTTTTGTGTGTGTGTGTGTTGGGGGTGGGGGGATTCTGAACTTGATGACACTGGGAGGGGCATTTTTGAACCTGATCCCAATTTTTTAACTTTT